TCTTGGCGACACCGCCCAAAAATAAAAACGAAAAGTTGTACCAGTTGACTGTCCCGAAATGCCCCGTATTTTTATTAGGAATGTCCATAATATTCATATTTTAACGTAAAATTCAAAAGAAGATCATCTAACGTTGGGCACGTCGTGTCCCTTGTTGGGGACGCCATCTTGGAAATCGAATCGTCAATCCGGCAGGCGAGCAAGTTGGAAGATTTGCATAATCGATTTGGCAAATTGTCGTGGTAAATACGACAATTAGGTGAAACCGATTAGGCTTATTTTTGCCGTAAATGTGTTTGGAAAGGAAATGCAAATTAATTAGCCCTAATCGGTTTCTCGTAAAAACGCCTATAGTACAGGAGTCCTCGATAGTAAAAACAAAGTTTTCTATTGGTCTATTAGATCACGTGGAATTATTAGCCAATGAAAATGCGTAGTACACCATTACATACGGGTATTTTGTAACGTTTGACGCGTGTGCACATGAGCACTACTATTCTTACCGAACCTCCGCAAGTGCTAAGAATGATAAAACTAAAGCTGAATTTTACTGATTTTTGAGCATAAAATGCGTATTAAAAATAGAGAAGCGCAAATAAATTCAAAGGAAGAAGGTATATTCGACGTTGAGCTACTAGTCTTCCCTCAACATTTGGCATAGAAACCCACAAATGTGCCGATAAAGCGAGTGAGTCGAGTGACATTGATGACCTAGATCTAGTTTTCTTTTACTTTAGATAATAATAACAACAATAATTACTACGATTTTGAAGTACATTTTGACAGTTCGAACGGCGATAATGAATTATTAGATGATTCTGACGACGAAGCAGATTTCCAAAATAAAAATTTAGAGTTAGCCACTTCTAAAAAGTTGAAAAAATTTCATATTCTGTCCATTGAAGAGCCGTCTAGACCTAGTTACGGCTAGTAAGTAGTAATGACCTATCAGGCTACAGACTAGTCGATGTAAACTTTCTAAAATCAATAATATCAAAATTAAATAGTCCAAAATGTCAGAATAAATTTGATCAACAGTTATGTTTGACTGATGTGAACTTTCTAATGTCAATAATATCAAAATTGAATCGTCCAAAATTTCAGAATAAATTTGATCAACACTTTTGTTTGATTGAAAATAATTTCAAATTGGTGGACCGGTATTGTAATTTTTGCCAGGAAAATGTTTCCACTGCCAATGAATGCTACTGCTGCTGGGAGTTCTATTAGTGGTATGGCATAAAAATGAATGAACATACAAAATAATATATAAAATTCAGAGAGATATTAATTTTTTTTTATGAAAGCCAAAGAATTTGAAAAATTAAAAAAAAAAAAAAAAAATGCGACTAGCAGTATAAAAGAGGGAGCAGTTTATATTTCCGAAGGGTTTTAGTACCGGCAAATAAAAATAAACTATCAGCATTCAAAAACAGTTCATTTTTCACTTTGCACGATTTAACGAACAATATAATAACATTACAAACAACTGATACGGTAACACGGATACCCTTATCATTTTTTTCTGATTATAGTTTTTATTATGGTTACAGCTAATTTTGGTGGCCATTATAATGTGACTTTATATCATTTTTTCTCCACCAAAGTTCATATTTGCACACAGTGACACATAAACAACATTCAGAATAAATTTGAGCCAAATCCAACTGATAGATCTTGAAAAATAGCGAAACTAAAAAATTACCTATATAAAATCCCCTTTTTCCGTTGCCATGGCAACCAGTTGTCAGATTTTAACGAAAACACAAATTTTATTCTTGTTTCATGTATATGTGTCTTGTGTGAAAATTTAAATATTCTAGCATTGTAAGTTAAAATTTAGTATGAAATGCTTGCAGGAAACTGTGCACAAACTTCAAATGGCATTTTCTCAAAACATGTTTTTGCGCCATTCGCAACTTTTAGTTTCGCTATTTTTCAAAAACTATTAGAGATATCAATTTGAAATTTTCAGAGATGCTTCATGAGGTGATGCATCAAATAGGGCAAAAGTTATGGTTTCTAAAGTAACTAAGGCTGTACTAAATTTTGCTTCGCTAATTTTTGTGGCCATCATAATGTGACTTTATATCATTTTTTCTCCACCAAACTTCTTATTTGCACACAGTAACACATAAACAACATTCAGAATAAATTTGAGCCAAATCCCATTGATAGATCCTGAAAAATAGCGAAACTAAGCACATTACCTATATAAAATCCCTTTTTATACGCCCACATTGAAATGTGGTTGTATATTGTCGTCGCTGCGGTCCGGCGTCCACAATTGCTTGTGGACGCTCTCGAGGCTGAAGTTAATATCCGATTGACTTTAAATTTATATACAGTGTTTAAGGCCATGAGACGAAGAAGCCTATTGATTTTCAGCGATTTCCGATAATTACTGCCAGAGTTATGGCCCTTGATCACTTCAAAAAATCTTGTGGACGCTCTAGAGGCCAAAGTTAATATCCGATTGACTTTAGATTTATACACAGTGTTTAAGGTCATGAGACGAAGAAGCCTATTGATTTTCAGCGATTTCCAATAATTACTGCCAGAGTTATGGGCCTTGACCACTTCAAAAAATCTTGTGGACGCTCTACAGACCAAAGTTAATATCCGATTGACTTTAAATTTATACACAGTGTTTAAGGTCATGAGACGAAGAAGCCTATTGATTTTCAGCGATTTCCAATAATTACTGCCAGAGTTATGGCCCTTGATCACTTCAAAAAATCTTGTGGACGCTCTAGAGGCCAAAGTTATTATCCGATTGACTTTAAATTTATACACAGTGTTTAAGGTCATGAGACGAAGAAGCCTATTGATTTTCAGCGATTTCCAATAATTACTGCCAGAGTTATGGCCCTTGATCACTTCAAAAAATGTTGTGGACGCTGAATTTTCAATGAATTTTTATGACTTGGAGCAGCTAAATTCATGATACAGTATTAAAAGTTTTGTATACAAAACGTTAGCATGGGGCAGAACTTTATAAAAACCAAACAAATTCTATTGGTTTTCTGAGTTGTTGCTCCTAATCAGATTTTAGTGTATTATAAATGTTTCATTTCCGAAAAAAGTAAAAATATGCGACAACTCTTGTTGACTGCCCGGACGATTTAGCACTGTGGGCGTATGTTTCGTTGCCTGGCAACCTATCTTTTCTGTTGCCATGGCAACCGGTTGTCAGATTTTAACGAAACGACAAATTTTATACTTGTCTCTTATATATGTGTCTTGTGTGAAAATTTAAACATCCTAGCTTTATAAGTAAAAAATTTGGTCTGAAGTGCTTACTATCCCCTTAAGAAAGAGGGGCGGCGGCCATTTTGTCTGTCAGTTTTGGGCCGATTTTCACAAAATTCGAACTCAGCCGTCCTTAGGGTGTAACGGTGAAATAATAATACGTTTTTTTAAATCATATAACCAGCAACGGTGAAATAATAATACGTTTTTTTAAATCATATAACCAGCGACTGCCAGGCAGGATACGCCCACATTTTCGAGAGATGGATAGAGAACAAGCTAAAAAGGAAGTGATTTTTCCTACAATCAAGGGCCATAATTGAGAAAATTACAATTCGATATACGCAAATATCGAAAGTTTCAACAAAACCGGATAAAAATTGTGACCTCTATAGGGTCCACAAGCTAAAAACGTGATTTTTCGTACAAACAGGGGCCATAATCCATGAAGTTTCGATCCGATACATGCCAATATCGAAAGCAGCTGAGATCTTTTGGGGATAAACCTATATTTCAAGTTTCGTCAAAATCGGATAATTGTGACCTGTAGAGTGTCCACAAACAAGTTGTGGACAGACGGACAGACGTCCGGACGGTGAGGGGCGACGCCAATATACGTCCAGCAACGGTGAAATAATAATACGTTTTTTTAAATCATATAACCAGCGGCTGCCAGGCAGGATACGCCCACATTTTCGAGAGATGGATAGAGAACAAGCTAAAAAGGAAGTGATTTTTCCTACAATCAAGGGCCATAATTGAGAAAATTACAATTCGATATACGCAAATATCGAAAGTTTCAACAAAACCGGATAAAAATTGTGACCTCTATAGGGTCCACAAGCTAAAAACGTGATTTTTCGTACAAACAGGGGCCATAATCCATGAAGTTTCGATCCGATACATGCCAATATCGAAAGCAGCTGAGATCTTTTGGGGATAAACCTATATTTCAAGTATTGTCAAAATCGGATAAGAATTGTGACCTGTAGAGAGTCCACAAACAATTGTGGACGTCCAGACATACGGACGGACAGGGGCGACGACAATATACGTCCACATGAAAATGTGGGCGTATAAAAATTGTATTATTATATCACCGTTGCCCAAAACTGACCGACAAAATGGCGCTATAAGTTTTGTTCATAAGGTAAGAAATTTTGACACGCCCACATTGAAATGTGGTTGTATATACTGTCGTCGCCCCCATCCGTCTAAAGTTATATCTGATTTACTTTAAATTTATACACAGTGTTTAAGGTCACAAGACGAAAAAGGCTACTGGTTTTTACTGATTTCCAATAATTACTGTCATAGTTTTCGCCCTCGATTAATATCTGATTGACTTGAAATTTATATACACAGTTTAAGTTCATGAGATGGAAATCCTATTAATTTTCAACGATTTCCGATAATTACTGCCTGAGTTATGGCCGTTGATCACATTGAAAAATCTTGTGAACGCTCTAGAGACTAAAACTTCATTTCATTCTTTCATTCACTCTAGAGGCTAAAGTTAATAAAAATTGTTTTAAGGTTATGAGACAATCGCAATAAATTCTAATGTTTTCTGATAATTACTTCATGGGTTATTACTCGTGATCAAATTTTCATGTGTTGTAAATGTTCTCATTACTGACAAAAGAAAAAATATGCGACAACACTTGTTGACTGCCCGGACGACTTAGCTGCTGTTGGCGTATATTTTTCGTTGCCTGGCAACCTATCTTTATTACTATTTTGAACAGAAAGGAAATGTAAATTTTACTTACGAAGAACTATTCAAGAAACAGATAGACGATATTTCGGATGTTACTGAGAGGTAAATAATAGTATATTAGATATTTTTATACTGCGAGGTAAATAACAGTATATTAGATATTTTAATAGGTCCAAATTTGGCGTGCACGTAAAAGATCCCTTGGCAGTTGGAATTCGATATAAGAGTAGGCCGTAGCACCGCTGCCCGGGCAAAATTTCCCTCATAGCACACTGTATGGCATATGCCCATCTTCATTAGCCCAGTTTAGGAGCAAAACAGTAGGATGTTAAACCCCATTCATTTCATTTCTGTGTGTGTCGCTTATAGGCCGCAATTAATGACAGATCCTTTTGAAACTTTGCATACCTATTCTTTATACCACCACAAGTTAAACCCATTTTTGTCACCCGTTTTTCAAAGAAAGCAGGGGACTAATAAAATGGGTCTGTCTGTTCGTCACACTTTTTGGGACACAATAACTCTCCTTCTAATTGAGGTAGAATGTTCAAACTTGGTGTAGGAGTTTATTTTCTGCTCGGGGTAAGCAGAGCGATAAGCAATTTAATTGGTCGAGACTTTGGAACACAATAACTCTCCTTCTAATTGAGGTAGAATGTTCAAATTTGGTGTAGGCATTCATTAGGAGAATCCCTTGATAGAGTTTGATGATGAACATTGTCTGCTTTTGGTAGGCAGAGATAAGCAATCTGATTGGTTGATGCTTTAGGGGCACGATAACTTTGGTTATAATGATGTGACTAAGTTCGATTGTGAGAATTTTCTGCCTGGGCTAGGGAGCAATAAGCATTTTGATTGGTCAAGACATTGGAACATAAAAACTCTGCTTTTAATTGAGGTAGAATGGTTAAACCTGACGTAGATGTTCATTAGGTAAATGTCTTGACTGATTTCAATGAATAACATTTCAAGCTAAAGCTAAGCAGAGCTAATCAATTTCATTGGTCGATGCTTTGGGACAAGATAATCTTGATTCTATCTGATAAAGAGTGATGAAACTTAGTGTGTAGTTTGATTGCTCGATACTTTTGAAAAAAATAAATGTGCAATTAATTAATGTGTCATCTATTTATTTTGGGATTTCGGCGGGGGACATCAGCCTCACTGTTGGCTTGTTTTATTGGTGTCAAGAGTATAATTATTCCTTATACTTATAGCCTAGAGGCGGTAACTATTGATTTTGGTGCATACCCCGACCCCTAGGGGCAGAGCCACGCCCATTCTAATGGTGTTTAGCATCTTAAGGCCACAATTCTGAATGGATTATCATGGAACTTGGTATACTTATTCCTAAGTACAGCAATTATTGATATTGGTGCATGATCAGCTCCACTTTGGCAGTGCCACAGCCACTGTTTGTTAATATTTCTAATGATGAAAGAGGCTAGGTCCAACATTCAAACGCTAAATACTCGGTTCGTCTGGATCAATTTGACTGAAATTTCCTGAAAATTCCCTTTATATTATCTAGTTTTTATACGACCACTACGACCACTTTGGAAATGTGGTCGTATTTTGCTGTCGCCCCCGTCTGTCCGTCCACAATTTCTTGTGAACACACTACAGACTACATTTATCATCTAATTGTTTTGAAATTGATCTGTGTTGTTTACATTAGTGAGATGAAGAAGCCTATTTAATTTCAATAATTTTCGTTAAATTCTTCTTGTGAATGCTCTGACGACAAAAGTTATCATCCAATCTGTATGGAATTTATATGCATCATTTAAATTAGTGAAACGAAAAAGGCTATTGAATTTCAGCAATTTCCGTTAATTATGTCTAGAGTCATGGCCCTTGTTTCCCTTTGTTGAACCTTGTGAACGCTCCAACAAAAGTTATCATCCAATCTGGATGGAATTTATATGCATCATTTAAATTAGTGAAACGAAAAAGCCTATTGAATTTTAGCAATTTCCTTTAATTGCTTCTAGAGTTATGGCCCTTGTTTCACTTTGTTGAACCTTGTGAACGCTCCAACAACAAAAGTTATCATCTGATCTGTATGGAATTTATATGCATCATTTAGATTAATGAAATGAAAAAGCCTATTGAATTTCAGCAATTTCTTTTAATTACCTGTAGTGTTATGAACCTTGTGAATGCTTCGGAGCGACAAAAGTTAGCATCCAATCTGTATGGAATTTATATTTTATATGCATCATTTAGATCAGTGAAACGAAAAAGTCTATTGAATTTCAGCAATTTCCTTGTTTCACTTTGTTGAAACTTGTGAAATCTCTAACAACAAAAGTTATCATCCGATCTGTATGGAATTTATATGCATCATTTAAATTAGTGAAACAAAGAAGCCTATTGAATTTCAGCAATTTCTGTTAATTCAGTCTAGAGTTATGGCCCTTGTTTCACTTTGTTATTGTCCTTGTTTCATTGAACCTTGTGAACGCTCCAACAACAAAAGTTATAATCAGATCTGTATGAAATTTTTATGCATCATTTAGATTAGTAAAACAAAGAATCACATTGAATTTCAGTAATTTTCGTTAATTTGGAGGCAGACCACCATTAATTTCCCCATTGACTTCAATGTTAATTCTGGCCTCTTTGCCCACCTCCAACTTTTCCCCAAATTTTCGTTGGGCTGAATGCATTTCACTACAGACAGAGGAACAAATGGTCATGTCTTTGCACTAAAATTTGTATGAGGTTGCCACTAAAATTTGAGATACACAAACTTGAAGAAGCATACTAAAAACATGTAACTAGTTGCCGTACATATCGCGGTAGCTAACCTGATAACCCTCTTATCCTTCCGCCTCAAAATCATGAATATTTACCAAAACCTGGCAGAAAATGTTAATTCAAACCCTCTTCGTCCATTCTAGACCAAAAAATCAACAAAAATCAGCATGCAAAAGGGGAGAAAAGAGAGAGAGAATTGCTAAAAATAGACAAACTACAATTCATGGGTACCGAGATGATGAAATTTAATGGTGGTCTGCCTCCATTTCTTCTGAAGTTATGGCCCTTGTTTCACTTTGTTGCGCCTTGTAAATGCTTTAACAACAAAAGTTATCTTCGGATCTGTATGAAATTTACACAGATCATTTAATTTAACTAGAGTTACAGCCCTTGTTTAACTTTGCTGAACGAAAGTTATCATCTGATCAGTACGAAATTTATATGCATTATTTAAATTAGCGAAACAAAGAATACTGTTGAATTTCATCATTTTCAAATAATTACTTGTAAAGTTATGGACCTTGTGAATGCTCAAATGATAAAATTTATCATCCCATCTGTATGAAATTTATATGCATTATTTAAATTAGTGAAATCAAGAATCCTATTGAATGTCAGCAATTTCTGTTGATTACTTCTAAATTTATGGCCCTTGTTTTACTTTGTTGAACTTGTGAACATTCAAATGGCAAAAGTTATAATCCAATCTTTATGAAATTTATATGCATTATTTGAATTAATAAAATGATAAAACCGGTCAAATTTCAACAATTTCTGTACATGACTTCCAGAGTTAAGGCCCTTATTTCAGAACCTTGTGAACCCTCAAACGATGAAATTATAATCTGATCTGTATGAAATTGTCTTGTAAATAAATGCCCCCAATTATCTACAAAAGAATAAATGTGCGACAACCCTTGACGACCGCTCGGATGATTTAGCTGCTGTGGGCGTATGTTTCGTTGCCTGGCAACTTATCTTTAACTATTATAGTGAGAACTACCAGCTCTTTATCTAATCTCCCATAATGTATCTTTAAGTTATATTCTGAGTCAATGCAGCAAATCATGTCTGTAGCAATATTCTGGGTCATAGCAGTGAATCAAGTTTGTAGCATTATTCTGGGTTGCTGCAGCAAATGGAATATGTAAGGCTGTGTGGGACTGTATTCTTTGTTGCTGTGTTGCACTGTATTCTGTGTGGCACTGTTGTCAAGTTCATATACTCCTAATCAAACCTGTAACATTATCCCTCCTGTTGATCTTGTGACACAGCATCAATTACTTGACTTAACGTTGTGATTTAAACCTTTCACAATTTTTTGGCTTGATAGGTACAAAATGTTTCTTTTACGCAAAATGTTTCTGTTGCTAATAAATGTACCAAGGTGTGATTTGGCCCACTTTAGCTGTTGCTTTTTTATCTTATGTATTTCCAATCTTGTGTCAAATATGTCTTTAATTTTTGTTGGGGTGGTTTTTCAGAATAAATTGTGAAGTGATTATAATACCATCATATAGAGATATACATCATGACAGTGTTTATCCTCAACCACCATATATAGTTGATCAACTAAAATCTGTAAGTCTTTAATAAGCAACATGTTACTGAAGTGAACAGAAGTATTATATTAAACTCTGTTAATAGATATCCCATTACAGGAAGCATAGTTTAAAGTGAATGCATATCCAACACTACGGTATGATATAATATAATGTATTGCCGTTGTATCAGACTTTTCTTTAACACTAGGAGATCCTTTAGCCTGTTTCACTTGTATCTTGAGGGTAACTTATGTGTGAGTTAAACATGCATTGCGCAAGAGCTAAATCTGCCTATTGCAGGTCTTTCTTTAGGCCTTAAATGTTAGCTAAAGTAGACATTATCTAACTTATCAAGACCACAATACTCTCCGGTGCCATCGTTGACCTGCGATATTTAATGGATTTGAAGACGGTTTGTGATAGATAATTTAACGTAAAAATGGATAATTAAGACTTTGTTTATTATCGTACCAACGCTAGTAATGATGATCGAGGCAAGCCTAAAAGTGAATCTCTAATATGTTGGTTCCGAGGAAGCAATTTGACTGCTATTTTTTTATAGCATATTCTGTTTTCAACACCCCCATTTTCATGTGGACGTATATTGTTGTCTCACCTGTCCGTCCACAATTTGTTTGTAGACACTCTACAGGTCACAATTTTTATTAAACGCCCACATTTTCATGTGGACGTATATTATAATCGCCTCTGTCCGTCCGTCCACAATTGTTTGTGGACACTCTACAGGTCACAATTTTTATACGCCCACATTTTCATGTGGACGTATATTGTCGTCGCCCCTCACCGTCCGGACGTCTGTCCGTCCGTCCACAACTTGTTTGTGGACACTCTACAGGTCACAATTATCCGATTTTGACGAAACTTGAAATATAGGTTTATCACCAAAAGATCTTGGCTGCTGTCGATATTGGCATGTATCGGATCGAAACTTCATGGATTATGGCCCCTGTTTGTACGAAAAATCACGTTTTTAGCTTGTGGACCCTATATAGGTCACAATTTTTATCCAATTTTGTTGAAACTTGAAATGTAAGTTTATAACCCAAAATCTCGGCAGCCGCTGGTTTAAGTTTCATCTAAAATTGGGCCAAAAACTTCGTGCAGGGGTTATATCCAAGAAGCTGAGGTCCAATATAGCCCCTGATTGTTCGAAAAATCGCATTTTTAGCTTGCATATTCTCTAGAGGTCACAATTTTCATGTGGACGTATATTGTCGTCGCCCCTCTCCGTCCGAACGTCTTTCCGTCCGTCCACAATTTGTTTGTGGACACTCTACAGGTCACAATTCTTATCTGATTTTGACGAAACTTGAAATATAGGTTTATCTCCAAAAGATCTTGGCTGCTTTCGATATTGGCATGTATCGGATCGAAACTTCAGGGATTATGGCCCCTGTTTGTACGAAAAATCACGTTTTTAGCTTGTGGACCCTATACAGGTCACAATTTTTATCAAATTTTGTTGAAACTTGAAATGTAAGTTTATAACCCAAAGATCTCGGTTCCTTTCGATATTCGGGCAAATCGGACCGTAACTTCCTGAATTATGGCCCTTGATTGTTGGAAAAATCACTTTCGTTTTAGCTTGTTCTCTATCCATCTCTCGAAAATGTGGGCGTATATCCTGTCTGGCAGCCGCTGGTATAAGTTTCATCTAAAATTGGGCCAAAAACTTCGTGCAGGGGTTATATCCAAGCAGCTGAGGTCCAATATAGCCCCTGATTGTTCGAAAAATCGCATTTTTAGCTTGCATATTCTCTAGAGGTCACAATTTTCATGTGGATGTATATTGTCGTCGCCCCTCTTTTTTCCAAACGCCCAAAATTGTCCGACCGGGAGTATGCCCCATCGGACATCAAGACATGGTGAATAATATTCAAAATTCCGAAATTACTGAGTGTATAACTACCCCTCAACCCCATTATCGTCGATAATACGCTTGATTTATTAGGTAATTAAGTGATCAACGTATTTATCGTGTTATACCGTCTAATAATAAACCTACCTTGATTAACTACTTAATCTGCCTTGATTGACTGACTTAATCCTTTGTCGGACAATTCATAAATCTAATCTTAAACAGAAGTCATTGCTTTCCCTTTGTTGGACTATTCATCAATCCAATAAGAGTGATTATAATTTTAATCCACCTGTTTACCTCATGGTTTCTCAATTGTCAAGCATTTTAATCGCATTGATGTGAGCCGACAGCATCTATAAACTAATAATTATAGATGTCACATATCCTAAGAGTATATAACACCCTAAATCAATGGACAGTCATTTTGTCTACGATATCTTTTACGTCTTTTAAGACTCCATATAGAAATTCTCATCCACAGTGGCACTTTTCCGTGATCTCGAGCGCCGCACGAAAATCGCTTACGATGAAGCTATGTGCCGTGAGTCACGTATGCCAAACGCTGCAGGAAGTTACGTCCTTTTACAAGAAGGTACGGATCGGCAAGCTTTCATTCTATCATATTACGAAAACACGTAATTTTATAGAAATATCACTGACATTAATTTGAATACCACAATTAAATATGAAAAATAGCGAGGTGTTCCCATTTTTATTACGCACAGATTTGAATATTTTTGTGACATTTTATTAAGAAGAAAACGATTCTTATTCCGAAAGTTCTACATTCATTTGCTGCTGTATAAACGAAGACACGTAATTTTACAGGAATATTAGGCTTACTGTTGTATATTTGATGCCGCAGCAGTGGACAGTCATTTTATTTGCCATATCTTTTACGTCTTTAAAGACTACATATAAAAATTCTCATTCACAGTGGAACTTTGCAGCGATCTCGATTGCCGCGTGAAAATCGCTTACAAGGCAGTGCTTACGATGAAGCTATGTGCTTTGAGTCACGTACGCCATACGGTGTAGGAAGCTATGTCTTTTTACAAGTAGGTACGGATCGGCAAGCTTTCATTCTATCATAATACGAAAACACATAATTTTATAGGAATATCACTGACATAAATTTGAATACTGTACGGGAATTAAATATGAAAAATAACGAGGTTCACCTATTTTTATTACTACAGGAGTTGAATATTTTGTTGACACATGATTTTCAATTGTGGTATGAATACGTCAGCTTAAATAACGATAAGAGTTATGCCCCTTTATTTTCGGTAAAATGTCCGATAGGAAAAATTTTGAAATCCCATCACTGGTTGTGGACCCTATGCAGGTCACAATTTTTATCCGATTTTGTTGACACTTGAAATGTAAGTTTATAACCCAAAGATCTTGGTTCCTTTCGATATTCGCGCATATCCGACCGTAACTTCCTTAATTATGGCCCCTGATTGTACGAAAAATCACGTTTTTAGCTTGTGGACCCTATAGAGGTCATAATTTTTATCTGATTTAAAAAATCTTATTATTATATCACCGTTACACCCTAAGGACGGCTGAATTCGAATTTTGTGAAAATTGGCCCAAAACTGATAGAAAAAATGGCCGCCCTTCGTTTTCAAATAGCGTAAAAATATGGTATATCAAGGTTTTGGCCCCTTTAGAGGTCACAATTTTTATCCGATTTTGTTGAAACTTGAAATGTGAGTTTATAACCCAAAGATCTCGGTTCCTTTTGATATTCGGGCATATCGGACTGTAACTTCCTGAATTATGGCCCTTGATTGTTGGAAAAATCACTTTCGTTTTAGCTTGTTCTCTATCCATCTCTCGAAAATGTGGGCGTATCCCGCCTGGCCAAAAATCCTGCCTGCCTGGGCCAAAAACTTCATGCAGGGGTTATATCCATGAAGCTGAGGTCCAATATAGCCCCTGATTGTTCGAAAAATCGCATTTTTAGCTTGCGTATTCTCGAGAGGTCACAATTTTTTTCCAATTTTAAAAACTGTTTAAATACATCACCATTCCATCACAATGAAGGTTGAATTCGTAATTCGGGAAAAACTATGAGATTGATTTTAATAGCATCAGAACGGTAATAAAACGAACATTCTCTCAGTTGGGGATGGAATATTGACAAATTGCCTCATAAAAAAATGAGCATGAATTGTTTTTTAACTTGATTGAAAAATAAATGTCAACATTCCACCCCCGACCGATCTAAAGGTAGTTCAATTATCTTTCTAATGGTATTCAAAATGAAAAAAATATATTAATAATAAGAACTGCTGCTGAGCACTTGAAATTGGGTACCCCCTTTTCAAAACGTGACAAAAAAATTTGTGTGCCTCAATCAAAGAATCAACAAACACATCTGGGTATAGTGTAAAATGTCATTTATTATAAGTAAACAAATAAATGACTGTAACAAAATTAAAATAAAAACATTTATGAGTATATCATTAACATGCAACCCCCCCCCCCCCCCCCAACCTATGAATCCTGTTGGGCTAAATTAGAGCCCCCATTTAAGCCAAAAGCATCCGCAGCTGGACCCCCGCGTAGGATGTCTAGCTCAACAAAGGACACTGACTATACTATGTATTTACACTAATTAGTAATAAACTATGAAAGATAAGGGGTAGCCAAGTAATGTGATATAGTATATTATGACCTAACTATTATGGACACCTACTATTGACAGAAATGCTAAGTCTAGTGTAAATAAGGCTAATACTTCGATACAATGAGATCTCAAACTTTGCATGCAAAATGGTATACAAGATAGAGCAAGACAAAACACTCTGGGCTAAATAACAAGGAAAAGTTGTAACAGCCTACACAGACTGCAGACTTAGCCCTATTAATACAATTCATTGTGATACATAAATAATGGCACTTTAACAATTTGATACAATGGGATCCAACAACTATGCATGAAAAGTGGTATACAAGATCGAACACAATATAATCCATAACACTTAGATAATGATTTAAGGATGAGCACGAACTCAGTTATGCATGCAAAATGATATACAAGGTAGAAAACAAGACACAACACACTGGGCTAAATAACAAGAAATAATTGAAACGGCCTACAAACTTAGCCCTACTAATACATGTCATTTTGATACATAAAT